AATGTGCTGCACACATCTGAATATTTGGGTTGAAGTGTCCTGGAACAGTGTTGTAAATACAACTTAACCACTGATTTCTAGTCGTGTCCATTTTTGGAAGGCCAAACTAAGTAGTTTCACAACGAAACACAGCATCACACACTACGGCCTTGAGTGAGCGGAGGACGGATGCCTAGAGTGAGCAGAGGCGGCAGGCTTGAGAACGGTGCGGCCGGCGGATTCGATGAAGGCGCGTCTGGAGGGCTTGCGGCAACCACACGTGACAACCCCGGGCTGGACTCCGCTTCATCCACGGTGAAAGCCGATCCAGCGAGCATGAAATTGTAGTATTTCGTGCGACCAGCACGGATCAGCTCTAGGCATGATGAAGCAGATATCGTCCTCTTTTGGAAGGCCAAACAAAGTAGTTTCGCTTTCACAACGAAACACAGCATCACACACTACGGCCTTGAGTGAGCGGAGGACGGATGCCTAGAGTGAGCAGAGGCGGCAGGCTTGAGAACGGTGCGGCCGGCGGATTCGATGAAGGCGCGTCTGGAGGGCTTGCGGCAACCACACGTGACAACCCCGGGCTGGACTCCGCTTCATCCACGGTGAAAGCCGATCCAGCGAGCATGAAATTGTAGTATTTCGTGCGACCAGCACGGATCAGCTCTAGGCATGATGAAGCAGATATCGTCCTCTTTTGGAAGGCCAAACAAAGTAGTTTCGCTTTCACAACGAAACACACAGTGTCTTCACGACATGGCGGCAGCAACAACAATACTACAGCGAGAATAAAAGTTACGCCTTCTTTCTTTGCGTGAACATTTGGGCGGCGTTATGCAAATCATCCCACATAGTGAGGTAGACATGTGGGGGCGTGTTAGAACGAGCCATTTTAGGTAGGTGTGGCTGACTCTTAACTTTTATAAAGAAAATCTCTTTGGATTTGAGACTTTAGTCTTTGCAACTTTACAGATCTTCTTTATGCACCAAGAGCTTGTAACACTCCAAAGAGAAAAGAAAAATTTAAATCGCATCATATGACCCCTTTAACTGACTAAACAGATAAAGAATTAGAATAAAATTAATAAAAAAGTTGAAAATAAATCGATTCCAATAATTAATTTAAAGGAATAAATAATACATCTAACAGTACAGTACTATAATGAGTAGACAAAAGTAATAATGCAACAAAACGTGTACAATATTCATTTTTCACAAAAGGTACATCCTTTCAAAAGGTACACCTTTGTTCCTTATTTACCCCTAAAGGGTGCATATTAGTACCTTTTGAATACCGCTCCAGTGACCCCCTTTTGGTCTATTAGTTTGGTCTTTATAAATGAAAATATATAGTTGACTCTGGGCCCTCACACCAGGCTGATCATATTTGGGGACCACAGCGTCTAAGAAAAACTGTTCAAGAAACCTTGCATATAACAGTGTAAATCACTCCCAAAAAAGGTACAAAAGCTGTCAATTGGGCGGTATCCTTTCAAAAGGTACACCTTTGTTCCTTATTTACCCCTAAAGGGTGCATATTAGTACCTTTTGAATACCGCTCCAGTGACCCCCTTTTGGTCTATTAGTTTGGTCTTTATAAATGAAAATATATAGTTGACTCTGGGCCCTCACACCAGGCTGATCATATTTGGGGACCACAGTGTCTAAGAAAAACTGTTCAAGAAACCTTGCATATAACAGTGTAAATCAAAAGAGCATTTCATGCTACAAATGGAACTATAGCTAACAGCTTTCTAATGATTATCAGGGTCTTTACATAACTCATGTGACCCATAAAGTTAATTTACGCCACATTTCAGCCCTGCACGTCAGTGTTTCTTCCAGCAGCTTAGAGTCACCAAGTTTCAATGTACAAGTGCTGCCATCAAGTGGTGAGCAGAAGTAATCAATCAATTCGACTTGTGCTTTGATGTGGTTGCCCTCAACTGGAGCTATTTCCCTCTTTACCCCTGCCATCTGTCCGCTGAGGACTCTGTTCTTCAGACAATCTGTGCTCAAGCTGTGAATTAACTATGGATGTCATTTCCGGCAGCAAACACCGCCACACGGCAGCTGCCATCAGTGGTGACAAATTTACTGTTAGTGAGTGTTTCCTGCAGATGCTAAAGCGCATAAAAACAGCGGAGGCTGCTTCTCACATGCAAGCAGCACACACATAGCATATGACCGAACTACGAAAGTAATTAAAGGGGTGAAATATTTATTGTAACATCAAAAAGCGTCACAGAACTAAAATAGTGAGTCAATAAAAGAATACTTGCGTACATTAACATATTTGATACAAATAGAACAACGCATGCATGTTGTTTAGCCTTTTGGGGTTTTTTTTGCAAAAAGCATGATTACATTATATAACATACATTGTACATAGGATGTAATATAATGCCTGAAGGTCTCTGATATGCAGTAGGATTAGGCCTGAAATATGACTGAGATAAGGCACTGAACCCCATGATGCTCAAATGTGACTAACACTGTAATGGACTTTAGTTAAATGAGTAATTTAGTAAATGACAAGCAAAAAGAAGACCCTGAACGCCCATGTATAGGAATGGATAAGATGCAGTAAGAATACATAGGCTAACATAAAGGTTTGAATGGGTTGGAGCTTCTCAAAGGAGAACATAAAACGCTCTGCATCCTGAGATACTGTAATAATGTCACTAGAGGGCAGTGCTACGGTTTGTTTGAATTTTCCAACGTATACATTTCCACAAATAAGCTATACTACATTTTTACAGTCTATGGGTACAACATGGGGCCTGAAGTTTATTTATTTATTCATTTAACAAATGGTCAGTTAAATTTCGGATATGTCTAGTTTGATTAAAGAGAAGTAAATTTGATTAAATTACAGATTAAATAGACAAACTGCATTTATAAATATTACATTTGAAAAATTACAGTAATATGGTTGTAAGATGACAATTTAATTGAGATGTCACTTATTGTTTTTTTTTTTTAAGAGTTCTTACTCTTAATGTCAGTTCAACACATTGATCCTGTTTATATAAAGTGTCAATCATGTGAAACACCACATGAGTTATCAAAACTGGATAACGTGTATCAGGGTCATAAGTTACAGCGCTCGGGGCAAAAACCCCACTGAAAGCAACAAAAATGACACAGAAAACAAATTACATTAGTTGTCCAGGCCACTAATGAAAATCTGTTCACCCAAAATAAAACCCCGTCGCTTAAAATGGTATATAATATGGACCTGTCTGATTTTAGGGCTTCTGTAGAAGTGTACAAAAAGTATGACAAAAAGAAATGCAGTGGAATAATACACATTCACCAATCTGGCAACCCAGTGTTTTCACTTTCACCAAATCATGACTACGGAAGCCCGTGCGCACGTTTTTCAGACGCAAAAAAATGCATTTGGAAATGTAGCTCACGGGGGTAATGTAAGGACATCTATAGGGTCAGCATGTGACGTCACGCGGTCGTATAGTTTCCCCTGTAGATTCAGACACATAGATGTTTATGGCCTGCAGGTTCGGGCCTTGTAAACTTGCATGGATTATTCGAACATACAGTGAGTATTTCATGCTTCCCACGTAAAATGCATTGATAAACGATTCTAATCAAGAATCGCCCACTAGCCTCATTGACGTTGTCAGGGGTTGTTTTGAATGTAGGGCTGTTTAAATAGATTATGCAGGGATTTTAATGAAATAAGCGAGATATTAAAAGGCAAATGCCCCACACATAACTAAGCGGAACGCAGTAAAATTCTCCAACACTAAACGCTGATTCGGTATAAGCAAACGTTATTTGATGTTCCCGTTAGCGTCGTCTCGCGCTGTACGGTTCTCTGCGCGCTCTATATTGGGGGTCTGTCTGGCCAGACGTAGAGGCATGGCCTGCTTTTTGCGCACGTATGGAAACGAGGCGGTGGCTCTTTTCGCTGTTGCTGTGCCAGCCTATGCGCAAATACAATTTTTTTCACTCTTCTTACATGTTTGCTTATCTTTCCTTTCAAAAAAAGTTGTAGGCTAGTTAAGCAGAGAAGTTCGGTAGCACCAAAGAAACAGATTTGTGTATTTATGATGTCTTTCCTCGAAGGCACAATGTGGTAATGTTCAAATCACCAAATTTGTAAATCTTTAGATTAATTATTTTTATATATTTGACAGCAACAGTTTCTGTTTGTAAAAGGGTTACAAACACCTTTGACTTTGACTATTGGGAACCTTGGAAGTTACAAGGGTTGAGAACCACTGACTCTCAGGGTGAGTTCAGGTACACCAGGACCGTTTTTGATTTTGACTGCCTAAAAGTGGCCCAGATGACATGAATTTACAAAATAATTAAAGGAATAGTTCACTCAAAAATGAACATTCTGTCACCTTTTACTCGCATTCAAGTTGTCCCAAAACTGTGTAAGTTTCTCTTTTCTAACAAAAGAGGATTTTTTGAAGAATGTTTGCAACCAAACAGTTGATGGTATAGATTGACTTCCATAGTATGGTAATAAATAAATAAATAAAAATACTGTGGAAGTCATTGGGGACTACGATCTCATACAGGTTTGGAACAAGTGGAGACTAGAGAGTGAGCAAATAATGACAGAATCTTATTTTTTGGGTCAACTATCCCTTTATAGAGTAAATAATATGTCATTGACAATAAGTGCTAGAAATTTCAGGAGGAGTATACCTGACTATTCATTAGTAAAATAAGATTGAAGTTATGAGATTACTTTTTTCTGTGTTTTTACAAGTACATGTGATAGATGCTCCAACCTAATTGGTTATTGCATGTTGACTGTTTGAGTACATGCAGATTGGCTTGTGAATAAAGACTTTAAAAGTTTGTGTCCCCCTTTGCATACTGTGATAACCATACCTAAGGTGTCCCTCTCTTCCCCCACCCCGAGGGAAAGCTTCTTAAATAAACCCTGGGCCTCTCAGGGTGTATGTGTGCCTCTGCTCTCTGGCCAACTGTAAACACGCCGTTTTGTCTGATGTCTATGGCTTGTGCCATTCAGCAGCAAGGTAGCATGGGACTTGGTATGGGTCTTGGAATGGGCACAGGGGGGCACGGTGGAGGCGGAAGCACCAATGGCAATGGCACGAGCAGTGCCACCCCTGAAGGCACCAGCCCCGGTACTTTGAGTGCCTATGCCAGTGATTCGCCCATCTCTTACCATGATGATGAGGAAGAGGAGGAGGCGGTGGATGATGGCACTGAAGAGCAGTACAGGCAGATCTGCAACATGTACACCATGTACAGCATGCTCAACGTGGGTGCTACAGGTGAGTCCACAGCACTGTTGCATCCGATGAAATGCTTGAAATCAAACTCAACCTCATGTTGTTCTAAACTTGTATGACAACTTTATCTTCAATGGAAAAGAGCTGGTGAAATTTTAACAGTGTGCTTGTTGCCTTTTCAATGGGATTACAATGAATGCAGACTGGAGCTTTTAAACTTCAAAAAAAAGATGCAAATGCACCATAAAAGTTGTCCATATGACTCATGCACTATATTTCTGAAGCCATGCGATAGCTTTTTGCAAGAAATTTACTGAAATTTACGATTAAATGTCAACATAATTTTACTCTCTCTATATTTTTAGATGCATGTTACTTATTTTGAACAATTCATCCATGCATATGTTTTGTTATTTATTTGACCTTGCAATTGTTTATCAAATTGTCATAACTCGTTCTTTCAAGAAAATGAAAAAGACTTCTCTGTGGTGACGTATGTAGTTGATTGCAGCTCCCACACCTCAAAATTCAATCAACAACCGCTGGAGAGAACGAAGTCCCCAAGCATACTACGTTTCGATAATTTGTTACACTAGAATGCATGTCAAAATATAGATGTAATGTCTGGTGCTACTTTTTTTTGCAGCCGAGTTATTCATTTACAATCTTTTCCTTAACAGTTGTGATCAGTGAGTAAGTCCAGTTCACTTATGAGTAATTCAAATCGGTTTTGGGAACTGGATCAACAGATTCCTTAAAAATAATTATTAATTTACAAATTAAACATTACTGCTGCACCCATCAACTTTCACCATTTTTGGTGAATAAAGACACAAAAATCCAGCTCCACTCCCTATTCATTATTGCATTGTAAAATAAATAAACTACCACAACAATGTCTTCGTCTGGTTCCACTGAAGAAAACGGAAATCATACAGGTTTGATGATGGCAGAATATAATTAAAATTTTTAAGTTTTAAATTAGCACTTCCTAAACCGGCACTTCCTTTGATCCTGGTTCCCATTTTAACAAGTTAACTATTGTCTACTTTCTTTTGTGCTTCTTAAATAGGAATATCATCATAGCTAAATTCACACTTTTTGTTAAATGCTTAAACTGTTTTGGAGCTCATGAATATGTTATCAGAAGTTCTTCTTATCTTCGCTCAGACGGCATTAAAACCGAATGTGTTCTGATGCCTTTGGATTTCACAGATCTTTTATTAGTCTTGGTCCCAAGAGCTCTGTATTATCTGTCTGTTTTTGAGAGTCAAAAGATTTGAGTACTGGTTTAATCTTCATGGCTGTCTAGACTGCGTGCGCGGAGATCACGTTTTAGTCTTCACGCTTTCTCTACTCTTCATAAACTCCGTTCCCTTTCTCAGCAGGCGAACGTGTGGAGGCCTTGCCGGACCACTCAGAGACGCGGCCCAGGATGCGTGGCCGACAGGATCTTGCCTCTCTCCCTGCCGAGCTCATCGCTCAGATCGGCAACCGCTGTCACCCTAAACTTTATGAGGAAGGTGACCCTGCAGAGAAACTGGAGCTAGTTTCAGGTCTGAGTCTAATCACTGTACCCGTTCATTAACAAAACGCAACAGATGAACCAAAGTATCTTGAGTCAAAGGTATATTATAGTGGAATAAATCATTCTGTTGTTGTTCAAACCATCGTCATATCATCCTGTATGGATTTTGGGAAAACATCTGCTGAGAAAACAATGTTAAATTTAATCTATAGAAGAGTTAAATAGGAAGGATCATACAACAGAGTCATGTTCAATAGCCCATGAAAAGCAAATGATCTTGTGTGGTGATTGATAGGTCAACTGTGTTTGGAGAAGCCGTGTTTTGGTATTGTGGTGTAGAACAGGTTTTGTTGAGTGACTGTAGGGTAGTGGGGGCTTTTGTGAGGTGTAAAGCATGTCCTTAAGTGACTCTGAGCCGTCCGACTGGATCTGTTCAGTACACATAACAGAGGAATTCCGCCAATCGCTGGAACTTTATTTAAACAGTCGCATATATAAACATGCAGCTCAGAGTGCTTTACAAATACGATAAAAGAAAGCATTTGAACAAGACCAAACATGAAGCAATATAAAGTGGAAACTGAAATGAGGAATTGAAGCAGACGAGAAGACTAGCGATAAAAAGGTCTTTGGAAAAAAAATTGTCATCAGAAAGTCATTAAAAGATGAACAAATACAAAGCGCTGGAGGAGTGAAAAGCAAAAATGGAAATGAGACAAAAATGTTTAATTAAGAGCAAGAAAAGAAGGTTTTGAATGGTTTGAATTAGTTTTAGTAAAGCTCCCCCCACCCCACGCATGGAGGTAGGATTTGTTTTTTGAATTCTAATGAAACAATGTCTGTTTTGACTTCTTTTCCATCAGGAAAAAATGACATTTTAAAATGTTAAATAGAAAACCGTTATTTTAAATACACTTATATTTAAATAAGTTCTCACAATACTATTGTTTTTACTGTATTGTCTTGTCCAGTTGCTTTACAAATACGATAAAAGAAAGCATTTGAACAAGACCAAACATGAAGCAATATCAAGTGGAAACTGAAATGAGGAATTGAAGCAGACGAGAAGACTAGCGATAAAAAGGTCTTTGGAAAGTCATTAAAAGATGAACAAATACAAAGCGCTGGAGGAGTGAAAAGCAAAAATGGAAATGAGACAAAAATGTTTAATTAAGAGCAAGAAAAGAAGGTTTTGAATGGTTTGAATTAGTTTTAGTAAAGCTCCCCCCACCCCACGCATGGAGGTAGGATTTGTTTTTTGAATTCTAATGAAACAATGTCTGTTTTGACTTCTTTTCCATCAGGAAAAAATGACATTTTAAAATGTTAAATAGAAAACCGTTATTTTAAATACACTTATATTTAAATAAGTTCTCACAATACTATTGTTTTTACTGTATTGTCTTGTCCAGTTTGTGGAGCATTAGAGACTTCTTTCAAAAGAATGAAATCTTAATTCAAAACTGAGTTTGTTATTCTAATTTTCTTTTTATTTGGAGCAATATTCTGTATTTGAAAAGTTGCATTTAATGAGCATCTGCAGTGAGCACAACACTGCATAAGTTATCACACAGATGGATGCAGTAGAACAACAACCATATTTAATGAAGCCATAGGTGTAGAAAAGCTACATAAATAGAAAAACAGTTGTTAATACAACAGTCAGCGCTCAAACTTCACAAGTCACTGTTAGCACTAACTAACACACATGAGTGATCTTTAGCAGTAATAAGGAAAGCTGAATTTCTTTCTGAGCTTTGTGTGATTAGTATTCATTAATTTAGCATTCATTTTTGGGACATCTATGCATTCATGCAAATCGATGAGTCATAAGGCATTCGTCAGTCTTTCAATATGTAACTGCTTATATATCTTGAGGACATGAATATGAATGAAGTTTCACACCTTTTGAGTGAGATTCACATATATTGTCAACAGGCACCAGTGTGTACATCTCACGAGCTCAGCTGATGAACTGTCACGTCAGTGCGGGGACCAGACACAAAGTCCTTCTGAGAAGGCTGCTGGCTGCTTTCTTCGACAGGTGAGTCTGGGAAACGTTAAAGACGTCTTACATAATAGTAAAACTGTATGATGTCTAACTTTCTGTTTCTGTATGACGTACAGGAGTACTCTCGCCAACAGCTGTGGAACCGGCATCCGTTCCTCCACCAATGACCCCAGCCGCAAACCGCTGGACAGCCGAGTGTTGCACGCAGTCAAGTGTGAGTTTCCACTCTTTTATGTTATTTCACCCAAAAATGAAAATTCTGTCATCGTTTACTCACCCTGATCAGGGCTCGCAAAATTTCTAAATCGCTGGTAGCCCTTCGGGGACCGACATTCTTCAGATTTTGGTAGCCCAAAATTAATTTAAGTAGCCCGAATAAAAAAAAAAAAAGACATCGGCTGAACTTCACTGCGGACAAATCAGCATGATTAAAAACTTCCAGTCATTGCTTTTTTTCTTCAAATAACAAGTCAAGAGAGCAGGGCTCTCCAAAACCAACGGCTCGGATCATATTGCATTATCATATCAGATTTTGAGTAACAGATCGGATCATTTTGCAGATGAGCAAAAAATATATGGTTCTTTATTATTTAAATAACAGAATACTTCTTTGATACCACAGCAAAAACTAGTAGCATATAGGGATGTAACGATTCACTCAACTCACGATGCGATACGATTCACGATACTGATTTCACAATACAATTTTTATTTTCAACAAAATGAGATTTAAGACGAATTATAGATGAAAAGGTGTCTTCTTATTATTTCTCCAACAAAATGCTGCACATTTCTTTGTGAAATTGAAATATGTCAAATAATAAAACTAACTTGAAATTTTAAAACAAATCCAAAATCAAATAATTAAATAATAATACAAATAAAATAAATCTCTTCATATGAACAAACTAAGGCCTTGGCTGTGCTTTTCCATTTTAAATCAGAGGCAACCACTGTATTTTAATCATGATCCAAACAAAGATGCTAAATACATGTTATTTAGAATGCAATTAGATTGTATAATTTCGAAATTTGAAGCAAAAACAGATTGGTCTGACTTTAGCTTTGTAAATGAGATGCAAATGTCACTCTCTGACAGCAGGTGGCGCTTATGGAACAGCAGGTGTTTATAGGCTGCAGCCCCTTTAAGACCGAATGCACGGATTCAATATAATGATGCACTTGAGATTTCTTTCTCCACTGTTTACGTTCACTTAAGACATAAACGACTGTGTTTACGAGAATACTTGCCGAGACAGTTATTTTGAGATAATTTTGTGTGTATGTGTTCATTCAGATGCAAGGATACGCGAAAGAGGAATCAATTCTGTGTTCGTGCATTCTCAAATGCAGCTCTCAAGTGCGCACAGCTCCGAATGCGCGTGAATGGTTTAAAACACTTGAATGTTTAAATCGGCAAGACTTAGAAGCACGTGCAAAAAATCAGCTATGATCCGTTTTACCCCTACAAGCTACTGAACAACTCAAATCAAGGAAGGAATTTTATATCACTGTTCAAGATAGCCCATCGGGCGGTAATACATTTTGGTAGCGATTTTGCGAGCCCTGCTGATGATTTCTTTCTTCTGTTGAACACATAATACGATTTTTTGAAGAATGTTGATAACCAGACAGCTGCAGCTAGCTGTTTACTTTCATAGTATTGTTTTCATACTATAGAAGTCATTGGCCAGTGGCAACTGTTTGGTTACCAACATTCTTCAAAATATCTTCTTTTGTGTTCAACACAGGAAAAAAAAACGTCAAAAATGAAAAGAAAAAAAATAACCACTTGAGGATGGGTAAATCATGACAGCATTTTCATTTAATTGAATTATCCCTTTAAAGCCTGTTCACTAGGGGTAGGGGGGGGGGAAACAATACGGTATAGTATTGCAATATTTGTGTGCTGATGTTATATTGAGACAGAGACACCAAGTATGATTCTTTTATCAGGACCTGACTTAGAATTGTGAGTATTGCACTTAATTTTACAAGCTCCATGCGTAATGCGGTAAAACAGATCAAATCAATAATGGAAATCTTTCTTTCAGACTGTAATTTTACAAACAGCACAAGTGTCTCGATGCTGCCCCATCTCTCTATAATGCTCTCTCATTCTAAATATATCTCTATATATGCAAAGACTATAGAAATACAAAGACAGTTCATTCTTATACTTATGAATAGGAGAAACTGCATTGAGCAATAAGGCGGAATAGTCCCGCCAAATGAAAGAGCCAATTGCTGATTGGCTGGTCTAGCCTGAAAAATAAGCTTTTTAAACACTATTTGAGCATTAGAAACAACATTCATGGGGCAGATCATTCCAGATTTTGTTGCTGATTTGAGATATGCAATTTAATTGCAAGTTCAGCCAGCAGTTTGAGATTTCAGGATTCCCCCCCCTTTTTTTTTTATTTTATTTTATTTATTTATTTATTTATTTTTTTTAAGATCAGACTTGATCTTGTATGAGCTGCCCAGAGACGTTACAAATATGGCTGCCGAGTGAACAGACTTTCCTTGAAAGGGACTTTGATATATGTTATCGCATTACTCAGCATATCGCAAAATGTTTAAAATTGCATAAATATTGAATCGTGATAATATCGTGTCGTGGGTCCTTTGGTGATTCCAACACTTACTGTTTGAACCAAGTATGATAACTACAACTATGAAGTTTTGATAATCAATCTTAATTCTGCGAGAAAGGGAAAGTCCACTCTGCAACAATGACAAAGAGGAATGATAATGTTGTAAACGCGTTCAAAATCATTTTTTATTCCACTTATAAATGATAAAAACATTGACAGCCAATCAGAATCAATCCGGCACCAGAAGACATACCTGAGCACATGCTTCTAATAAACAGAAAGTTATAATGCGTTGGTGTGGGTGCTGAAAGCTATCTGTAATAGTTATGGTTCTTGGTGTGATCGGGCCTTTAGAAATGTCTTCTTCCCTTATGTCAACAGTTTACTGCCAGAACTTTGCCACCAGCTTTAAGGAGAGCGAGATGAACGCCATCGCGGCGGACATGTGCACTAACGCTCGGCGCGTGGTGAGGAAGAGCTGGATCCCCAAGCTGAAGTTACTGATGGCGGAGGGCGATGCCTATGCCAATTTCCTCCCCGACAGCATCAAGATGGAAGCGGACGGCCTCAGCGGTGAACCCGCCTTCGAGACGGCAAGCCTGGAGGGCGGCGCTTCGGTGGAGACCGGAGGATCCTCGGGCGAGTCTCTGCAGGGTGTGGGCGGAGACAACGGCACTTTGTTTCAGTGAGCGACCCGGCGAGGAAAGCCCTGCCCCATCCCCTCTGCCGCCCCACCTCCTACCCGCCTCCCACCCCGCTGCGTGACTCTGGGCTCTGCTGCTTCTGCCTGGGATGGGAAAGGGAGAGTCGGGTAGGAGATTGGAGGAGTTTGCACGGTCTAGCGTCGGGAGGAACACAAGGGGTTGATGCCAGGGGCACCATTTTCTTTTCAATCATTTTTGTTTTTGCTGAATAACCCTCTTTTGCACAGAAGATCCCCTTTGCCTCCATGCTCGGCAAGTAAATCTAGTCACCGATGCTATTGGAATGCGTAATTAGGACCAGGAAAAGTTCTTGCGACCGGAGGTCCGAGGTTCCCTGATCTCACTCTACTGAATTTGAATGTATTCGTGATTTTGTAGCACCTGGCTATGTCAGACTAGCCGATTGTATTTGGCCCAGGAGAGAGACGGGAAAAATGCCTGTCATAAGATCTGAAGGAACAGCAGATGGAGAAAGTAGTAGGGAGGAGAGGAGAAAGAGAAGTAGGTGGCATATTCTGTCTCTCGGGTCTGTCTAAAATGGAAAGAATCTGATATCCTCCTCTCCTTCCATTCCTCCCAAAATATATGTGGGATCTTAGTCTGCCACGTTCTTTGTTATTTTTATGTCGCCGTTTTCTCCTTTCCCCTTCTACTTGTTCCACTGGGTGTGATTTATATGAATCCAGAGTTGAAAGATGATTAAGGACTGTAAAGGATAAAAATATATTTATCTGCTCGCACCTTTAGAGCTCAAGAGAGAGGGATTGTTTTAAAATCTCTTTTTGTGTTTTTATTTTTTTCTTAAATGTTTCTCAAGAGACACCTTGTTGTTGGGCTTTAAATGGAAATAGTGAGAAAAGTAAGGACTATTTTTGCATAAGGATTATCTTGCAGACTGGTGCTTGGCTTGTATCTCGATCACGATCGTGTCCATAGCTGAATTCGATTGGCCGTTTTGACCAGTGATGTACAATTTGCGTCTCTCGTCGAATAAAGGGGTAGTTTATCCAGAAATGTAAATTCTGTCATCGTTTCCTCACCCCCCCCCATCTCAAACCAAACACAAAAGAAAAGTGTTTGTTTTCATTCACTGAAAGGCCAATGGGGTTCAGTGTTGTTTTGGACCCCGTTGTCTTTCATTGCATGCACATAAAAGTGTTCTTTAAACATATCTTTTTATGTTCCACTGAAGAAATAGTCATACAGGTTCGAGAAGACTTGAGGGTGAGTAAATTATGGCTGAATTGGATAAACTATCCCTTTAAGAGAAAAGAAAAATTGGGTAGGACATAAAAACAAAGTGTTTTTAGTCTGTAAACATTTTTAGCTTTCTTCCCCCCCATTATCGCACACAAACACGCTTTTACAGCCCAGGGGGGTGGGAGGTTGTGCTTCTTATTGTTAGTCACTTTACTGTCTTAAGGTTCGGGCCTGACTTTGTGTGTGTTTGGGAGCGGAGGAGGGTTTACATCACCTGTGTCCCAGGAGAGGAGGAGCAGAATGGTTAAGTCTCTTCATGTTGCCCATGTCCCTGTTTGGGCAGCTGTGTGTGTGTGTGTGTGTGTGTGTGTGTGTGTCTGTCTGTCTGTGCTCGCTTAGGCAAGCATGTCTGTGTCCGCACAAGTCACCATCTGTATACATTCCTTGCACATAGTTGGCACTGTGCGTTTGCATGTGGGTGATGTGTTGAGTTGGGGATTTAGGGTTTATGTGCCGGAGGCGTCTCATACGGATGCTTTTAAGGAAATTCGGCCGTCTGAAAGTTTGCCGTAACCCGTGAAATTTTGCATATCCCAAATTTTCTTTGGGATTTGAATGGAGGAGGAGCAGAATGATTAAGGTTCTCCATGTTGCCCATGTCCCTGTTTGGGCAGCTGTGTGTCTGTCTGTCTGTGCTCGCTTAGGCAAGCATGTCTGTGTCCGCACAAGTCACCATCTGTATACATTCCTTGCACATAGTTGGCACTGTGCGTTTGCATGTGGGTGATGTGTTGAGTTGGGGATTTAGGGTTTATGTGCCGGAGGCGTCTCATACGGATGCTTTTAAGGAAATTCGGCCGTCTGAAAGTTTGCCGTAACCCGTGAAATTTTGCATATCCCAAATTTTCTTTGGGATTTGAATGGGATTGCATGTGATGTCTTAATGTGTGCCCAGGCATGGGTTTTAAACACGCATGCCTCACGAAAACAGAAATTCGATACTGTAGGCTATTTTAATATTTCATGCCCGAGTTAGGCCGTGCGTGTTTGTATAAGTCGTGTTTTTTCGCGCGTCTGATCTCCTGGGACACATACATTAGCCGCCCCCTTTCTGACAGAGGAAATGGACCTCTTTGCACCTTTTCGTAGACTGAACTAGAGCTTTTTGCACCTTTTTTTGTAGAGGAGAGTGGTGGATTGTGCACCTTTTTTTGTAGTGTGTAATCGATGGTTTTTGGACTAAACTTCATGGATGTGTATGTGTCAGTATCTGGCCCGGAACAGAATGCACCCCTGCGTCTGCGGCCAGCCATGCTGAATACTGATGTAAATATCGAAGAGACTATTGAACGGATTTTGACCACGTTTTTAACAGGTCGCTCGTCTTTTTAATTGATGGCTTACATTAGGTCTTTCACCCCTCTTGTTTTAGCTCATGTTTTTATTTCATTTCTTTTATTTGCATAACCAAGTCTGGCTTACCTGCTGTTTGTATATCTGGAAATTGTAGGGTTTTTTTTTTTTGTCTGGCTTAAGAGTCGTAGCAAATAAAGTGAACTCCTGGCAAGTTTACTACTTAAATGCAGTCTGGTTCAGGTCTGACCGGTGACCTCATTTCTTTTTCTTTTCTTTTGGACCAGAAAACAATAATGCCTCTTGTGTAGAAATGTATAACATTCGAGAAGCCTGCAAAATCAACATCTGGTAACGTGCATGCATCCATTTCCTTCTCCGTTTTATTTCTCCATTCTTTTAGCAGACCACGTGTACTGTATTTACTTTTCAACTACTACTAATTCAAGGTGAAAGAGTTGACTTGCCAAGTTTTTTAAGGATACAATATAGAGTTGTTTGACTGACGATAGAGTACTGAGTATTTTTTCATTTCTTTTTATCGACTAAAGTGCTGGGAAAGTGGGGGGGCCATGGTGAGGGATGTACTGGTGCTATGTGTGCTATTCTTTAGATGTTAAAGGCCTGCTGGGTCACTGGTGCCTTTTCAGGAGGACTGCGGGAGACGAACTGCGTGTGTATCTGGGTGGGGCGCGGAGCGGCGGTGCTCGTCTCTCTCCTCTCGCCAGCTATGACTGTGCCAGTGTTTATGCGTCCTCCATTTTGATGGCACAGATCACATATGCTGCATGCGTCGCTGGAGAGGAACCGCTGTGTCCATGCGCCACCTGCTGTCTGTGTGTTGTTACTGCAGCTTAGATTTACTACTTACAGTCAACACCAGGGGGTGGCATGCCTGAGAAAGATGACTCTTGGTGGCCACAAAAAATGGCCTTTCTCTTACTAGGAAGTTGAAGGTGACGTGTAATTTTTTTCATTGTTAAAATGCTACAAGTAAGCCATTTGAAGGTTGATTTTTATTGTTATTTTCCCCCCAAAAGGCGTAACACTGTGGCTCTGTGGCGCTATCAAAAAGTTGCTCTGTTTGTTTGAGCATCACAACCAGCCCAAAAGAGCATCTACCCACGGCGCAAGTTTGAAATCATTATTTTTGTGATTCCATTTTAAATTACACACTTCACCTTTAAAGGATTTTTCCTTTACTTGGCTTCGCCTGGTATGAAAGTGGGAATAAAGGGACCAGTGTTGATCAAAAAAGGCAGGGATGTCCATATCACGCCGCCTATCAGTCTGCTCTCTGTGCCCGAGTAAAGCACCTTTTTCCTGGGGTTTGCGTTCGTAGACGTGCTCCTCGGCACCTTGTAATTCAGTCTGACTGTGTCACGGAACGCAGAGAGCAGATAGATGGCGGACACCTGAGTGGGTGGAGAAAGAGCGTGAGAGTTTAACTGCCCATAAGTCTTGTCATTCTTCCTTGTAGCACAGTTTGTTGGGTTACTGTGCATTGTAGATCATTGTGAATCTGTAACCTGGTGGATCGCTGACAGCATGCCAGAGAGAGTACGGAGTGATGTATTAAAAATTGAACTCTTTTATAAACTGGGTCCATCTGTTCTGGAGCGACAGACTGGCTGTATTTTGCAGGTTTTCCTTTGGCTTGCCGTTTTCGCTACTTTTTTTGTCAACCTAAGCCTCTTTTCCCAGAATGCAGCACTGCTATTCCACTCTAAATAACAGACATAACACATAAAGATACTCTCACCTCTTTCTCTCCATGTTGCGTTCTCTTCCAGCACACCACAACACTCTGCTTTCAGTCATTCCCTGAAATGAGATGATTGATTAACCCAACTTTGCAAATGTTTTGGTAAAGTAACGTGTGACAGCCGGACAAATTGGCGTCTGGACATAGTATCACGAATTACAGAGAAATACAGACAGGATGGGGGATGACATCAGCTCGCTTGAACACTCAAAACAACAAACCTTCTTTTACGATGCAGTGTCTCACTTTCTATGAATATATCCCTATACAAATCTATATACTGTATATTACATAGAAGCACTAATGTGCACTCTCAGCATGAGTTGTAACCCACACCCAGCTGTGCTCATGCAGTGACCCTGTAACGCCAGTGCTCATCCACTCCATTCTGTCTGTGTTCAAAGTGCCAATAACTTTGTGAATCCCTAACTGTGACCCAATATTATCAAAAGTAATTGCACATTAACTACTGTAAAAAATGAGTGAGAGAAAAGTCAAAGGATACAGCTGAATATCTTAATAAAAGTTTGTAACAAAGGATTGTGTCTTTGGTTGTTTGTTTGCATGTGTGTTAAAGCAATTCTCAACTTTTTTTCTCAACTATGTAGGCCAGTTAAAAAAAAAAAAAAACTAGGAATGTCAATAGATAATTGTGCTTTGTTCTGAACTGAACTGTATGATGTCAGTTTGCATGTTTTACATATTGATTCTACACTGGGAATATATATATATATACACACACACTGCACAGCATAAATTAGTACACCCCCTCTGAATAAATATAAAAGATGGATTTTCTTAATGATCACTAATATAGTTAATGTGATTCAAGGAAAGATGGCAAAATTTAAACATATTAAACATACTTAATAAAAACAACAAAATATATGCCGACATTTTCTGTAAGATAAGTAAATTAGCCAATTTAGTTTAAATGAAGGATTGCAGAAATGAGTACACCCTAGATTTAATTCATAAAATGTATAATATTCTAGTACTTAGTATGTCCTCCATGACTCTTGAGTACACTGCTCTGACCCTTCTTGGCGCTGAGTACAAGTTCATGACACATTTTCACATCTGTCCTGTTTAACTCCTGGAGGACGACCTCCTTGAATGCTCTGGTCTTTAATGGGGAGTGTTGCTCAGCTCATCTCTACAGAATCTCTCACAGCAGCTCAAGAACATTAAGATCGAGTGAAATACATGTCCACTGAAGGATTTTCAGCTTGGGCGATGCAGGGAATGAGGGGAGGATAGCATCTTCTGTTTCAAGTTTTTGTATTACATCACACAGTAGTGTCCCTCCCTCACACCTTCAGCACTCATTCATCCCTATAGCAGAGCTGTACTACCACTGAACGTCACTGTGTCGATTTGTATATTTTTATTCCTTAGTTACTTGTTCTATTTTTCTATTTTTTATTATCTGTGTTTTTGTTCTGTCACTGTCATTCTGTTACACTGTGGAGCTTCTGTCATGAAAACAAATTCCTCGTATGTGTAAACATACCTGGCAATAAAAACTCATTCTGATTCTGATTCTGATTCTTCTGTGGGTAACAAGCACTTCTCACTGTACTCCTCCTCTAGCAACAGCAGAACATTTTGGATGCTGTTAGATCCGAAATGATTGACTTGGTCTCTTGAGACCAGAGTATGGATTCCCAGAAGTCTCTATTTTGTAAATATGGGCCCTGGAAGATCTTAAATGAGTTTATTGTGCTTTGGCTACAGTCGGTAATTCTAGTGGTGACAACAACAACCATGCATGTCACTTCTGCAGGCTGCGTCATACTCTGTGAGATAAAGTGTCACTCTTTTCATAGCTTTTGCCGGCTCCAAGACACTTGCATGTTATTTCTCCTGCTCTTTTTCTAGCAAAAATTCACTCATCACTAAATGAAAACTTAACGTGAAGACCTGATTAGTTCAGGAGCCTTATGACAAGTCCATTGTTTTTGAATGTTGGTGCTACTTCTGCTATATTTTCACACTTAAAACAATAATGTGGTATTCCTCTTGTACCATTGTCCTCTTTTATGCTAAGAAAATAAAGCGGTTCCACTGCTGCCAGCATTAAGTCTGAGTATGATTCAGAGGGCTATATAACACTTTTGATTGTCGGGAAATAACTTGTCTTTAAAAGTTTTGGTTCAATATACTTACCTATTGATCAAAAATAGCCTTAAACATATACACTTTTTTTGTTTGTTTTATTTAGTAACTTTCAGGAGGGTGTACTCATTTTTGCAACACAAAATTTTATCACTTTGATAAGAAAATCTTATTTTGCTGAATAATTTTGGCATTCTTCTTTGGTAATTGATCAAGCAGGCTTGTTGGAACATTACATCTCCAAAGAAACCAAACATGTCTTGTAAGTAAAGAGTAATTGCTGAATTTGTTAAGTTTTAGAGGGGGTGTACTCATTTATGCTGTGCACTGTATATACTGTATATGTATATACTGTATGTATCTCAATAACTATA